ATATGCACCAACAAATAGATTTAGAAGATATTATCAAGGATATAAATATAATCATTATCAACAAAATAAAAGCATAATTACTTTAATATTAATTATCATATTTATAAATACAATAGTACATTTCAAATAATCACAGTTCTAATAAAAAGAAAAGTAATTATTATAACACAAATACCATAAGTCAAGTAAAATGTTTAATCAATATTATTCTGAGAATAAATAATGTAAAAGATATTACAAGAAAAGACAATGAAAGACAAAAGAAAATAAGAAAATAATACAAAAATGATGAAGAGATTTGAAAAGATAAAAAAGATAGTGAAAGAGAAACTAATTAATAAAGAAGAAGAACAAGAAGAAATATCCATAAAAATTGAAGAAAAGAAGAAACAATACAAGAACAAGAAAAAGATATAGAAGAAGAGAAGAAATAAATAATAAAAAGATATGAAAAAGGGAAAGAATAAAATCAAATAGAACATGAAAGAGAAATAAAAGAAAATGAAAGAAAAATAGAAGAAATAGAGAAATACAAAAACAAAAACAAAAGAAAGAAGAAATAATGAAAAGAGAGAAGAAAAGAAGATAAAGAAATATAAAGAATGAATAGTAAACATTAGATTGTAGTCTGTCAGAAAGAAGAACAAAGACGAACATTGAAAGAGAATTTAGAGAAATAAAAGAAAAGGAAGAAGAAACTAATAGATTAAAGAAAGAAGTAAAAGAAATAAACAAGAAGAAGAAAACAATAAAACAAAAGATAAAATCAAACACAACAAGAAGAAATAACAAAGATTAAAGAACAAAAAGAAATTAAAAAGAAAGACAAAGAAATGGAAAGAAGAAAAAGCAAGGAATTAGAAGATAAATTGAGAAACAGATAGAAGAGAATGATAAGATGGAAACAATAAAAGAAAAATCAAAGATAGAGATATCAGAAGAAAAAGAAATAGAAAACGTCATTATGAAGAATACATACAACAAGTAAATTTTTATCAAATTGAAGAAGAAAACAATATCTCTGATAAAAATAGAAGCACTAAAGAAAAGGAATAGGTCAAGTGGAGTAATTATTGAAGAAAAGAAAGAGATGTAATCTATCAAAAAAGAATCCAAGAAGAAAGTGAAACAAATATAAAATGTTAATCAGATTTATGAGAGAAGAATTACTAAGAATGAAATTAGAAGATTTAGAGAGAACAAAATAAGATTTAATATAGAAGAAATAATAAAGAAAAATAAAACATCAAAAATAGAATAAAGAAGATAAAAAGTTAATATTGATATGATTAAATATAATAAATATTAAAATATAAATTAGAAATTAAAGAATTAAAAAGTAATAGAAGAAAGAGGAATAAGATAAATAAAGAAGAATATAGAGAGATGATTAAAAGATGAAATAATAAAAGAAATAAGAAAAAGATAATATAAATAACAATAAATATAATAAATAATTATAAATATATTCAATAAATTAAAATAAGTAATAATAAACAATATGAAAGATAAAATAGATAATAAAAAGACATAATAAAAGAAAATAAAAAAGAAATATATATAATAACATATATTAATTATTATTTCAATAAAAAATATGTAATAAAATAATAAAATATATAAATAAAGAATGGAAGTGTGAAAGTGAAAATATAGAAGATATCAAAAAAGAAATATATAAAATAACATATTATATTTCTAATTATCAATAAAATAAATATATGATATTGAAATGATGAAATTAATTATCTAAAAAGAAGTTCAATTAGACAAATTATTAATTAACAAGAACTTTATCAGAATTAAATGAATAAATGGAAATAAATAATATAAAGATGAATGTATTAATAATAAAATAAGAAATTAAACAAATAAAATATTTAATCAATAATAATAAGAATAATATTAAAAATAAGAAAGAAAAAGAGTATTAAAAAAATTAAGATAAGAAATGAGAAGAAGATTAAATTAAAAAAAGAAATGAAAATATGGAATATCCTAGTGATGATGATACAATTAAATTATTGAAATTGATATATGAAATAAATAATAATAATAAATATAATAGAAGAAGTATAGAAGAAAGAGAAAAGAAGAGTAATAAGAGAAGAGTTAAAATAATAAATGATGAAATAGAATATTTATTGAAAACAATCTCTCAATGAAAACTACATAATGATTAAATACAAGGATATTATTGGAAGTATCTAACTGAGTAGAGAGATAAATTATTAAATATATTCAAATATTGTTAGATTACAGTGATTATATCCAGATGGTATTTAGAAAAACAACACTGATTTACAAGGGCGTAATTCTAAATCACCAGAGAAATATTAAATATAATGTTTTAATATAATAATGAAAATGTATTAACTTCATTCATTAAAATTAAAATCATACATCAATTACAAATAAATGATGTTGAATACAAAATAAATAAAATTCAAATAGGATGTAAAGAGATGTAGTTAGCATCAAAAGAATAAATTATTAAAAGTTATCTATGAATAGAAGAAATTGAATCTAAAAAGATTCAATGAGGTATTCTATAACATAAAGAAAGTATCTGATTGTATGAATCATCAATAAATAATATATTCATTAAAATATTTTAATATTAATAATGCCATATTCCATTTAATCGAATGTATGTGCAATAGATGGTAAGTTAAGATAGGATATACATATAATAATATATTAAAGTATGTTAAATTAAAATGTGTGATTACATTATTTTTCTCTTTATTGTTATTTATTATTAATCAAAATATCATATCAAATAATTAAATGATATTGACATTAATTCAATCAAATTATTTCAAACTCTATACATAGTTAATTTAAAAATCATATATGATTCGAAGAAAGTAATTAAAATAAACAATCAATTTATCATTAATGCAATTAAATGATATTGAAGTAAATATTAAGAATGTGTAATAATAGAAAATAAAATATTATAATTATCGATAACATGATTAAAATAATAATTGTAGATGACTCCAAGTCCTACAAATATCATTGTGTATTTTAATATGAGAAGAATGATGATGTAAAATATATTAATAAAATAGAAAATGATATAATGGACAAAATAAATATTCAAAAAAAATGAATGAAAATAATAAAAATTATCAATAGAATTATATTAATATTTTCAGATATATTGTATCTGTGATTCATTAGTCAATCACTAAATTAGATAAAATTGATCTTTATATTATAAAGAAGATACAAAAACAAATATTAAATTCATTAAGTAAAGATTATATAATAATAAAGGTAAATTAGGAGATTGATTAATGTTATTAAGAGATGAATATAAATTAAAATTAATAAGAACTATTATGTATTATGAATGGAAATAATGAAATAAGAGAAATGATAAAAATGAATAAGAAATGAATTTAGAAGAGATTTTATAAAACATAAGGTAAAAGAATTAATAAAAATGAATTTAATGAAATATAACAAATTATATAAAATAAGAATAACTCATATAAAATAATAAAATATTTAAATAATAAATTTAATGAAATATATATTAATAAATTAAAATTAAATAATACAAATATTCATTTAATAAAATAATTTGAAAATTAAATGAATGATATGAAATTAACAAGTAGAATATGGATGAATATTAATATAAAATGAAATGATTATAATTAATTAAAATTAATGTAAGAAAATAGTACATTTGATTAATTAAGAAAGTATTAATTACATAAATTAATAATTTAAAGTGATATAGTATTTATAATGATAAAATATCATCAATTAAACATATATTATTAAATTATAATGTATAAATTAATAAACATGATTTAATAAATGAATTGAATGTGATAAATTAAAATATAAAATAAATATAATGAATGATGAAGAAATGAAGAATAAAATAAAATAGAATAAAATGAAAATAATATTTAATCAAAATGAAATAAGTAGAATCAAAATAAGAATTGAAAATAATGAAGTGTTCATTGTATTGAATCAAAAAAAAATAATTAATAAAATTGAATATTTCATAAAAGACTAGATATTTAATATAGAATATAAAATAAAACAAATATGAATAATAATTGATATAACAATAGTCTGATAAAAAGTAATTTGGCATTTACTAACAAACTTGAAATGAATAGAACTCTATAAAAATAAGATAAATTAACAAACTAAAAGGAGTAAAAGTAATTCCAGTAGTAATAAATTGATTAATCAATATATAATCATTAAGAATGATAAAAGAACAAGGTAATAATTTAATATGAAATAATGATAAAAGATATAATTATATCAACATAAAAGATATAATAAAATACTATTGATATTATGGAAGTGAATATAGAGAAGTACTTCATGAACAAATTAATCAATAGAAAATGAAGGATATAATCTCATCTGAGTAAAATGAAATAGATAAATTAAGATTTACTGTTTCTTATTTTATTAATTTTTATTTAATTTAATATAATATAATTAATTTTTTATTTTATTTTAATTTTTTTAATTTTCTTAAATTAGAATTTATTTTATTTTTTTCTTTTTATAATAATTTTTTTATGGTACAATTTGACGATAGTGTGATAGCATCATGTAGTACGTAGTGGGAAATTTTGGTCCTTTTGGGATATATAACATTTCTATGTTTTATGTTTTATATAACACTTTTATATATAAATAGATTATGTTTTATATAACAATATTTTTATTTATATTTAGAATATGGAATTCATCTTTTTTTGACATCTGGGTACATTCTTTTGAGGTATTCTTTTCGTATTTTGAAGTATTACACTTTTTGTATTTTCATTGTTTCATCTTTTGTAAAATCATTTTCCCGTTTTACATTGTTTGTAATTCTGGATTATTTTTTTAATAGTAAAATTTTTAATATTGATTCTATAATCTCAAAATTATAACGATAATCTAATAATGAAACTATAATACTATTTAATGACCCCACCATCTGGATACCGTCATTACATTATACAATGTACGGAACAGTTAATAAAAGAAATGATATCTTTAATAGTTCTGACGAAACTGTTTTAGAGGATCGACCATTGGTTATTACCGATTTTATTACTTTACTAGAGGATATTAATGATATTAGTGGAGAGTGTAATGTTTTAACTAAAGGGATTGAAATGACATTCGGTGATATACCATTAGAAGTGTTTAATTGTGTTATTGTAAAACACATAGATATTATTGATTTGATTTTTGAAAAGATAAAAAGATTTAAAAAAGATAATAGATTAATTATCTCAAAGCTTAGAGAAGAAAGGGAAAAGAACGAGAAAAAGAAAGAAAAAGAAACAAAACCAGTTAGAAGAAAGACTGAGTTACTCTAATTTAATTATTTTTTTATTTTTAGAAAATGTTTCTCGTCTTTTGTTGTTTGTTAATTTTTTTTAAAAAAATAAAAAAATAATTTGTTATTTAAACGTAAAGAGAAAGAAGCATTCAATTAAAATGGTTTATGTCCTTGATATAAGTACCACGATAAATATAATTGAGTGGCACGAGAAGTGGTTTAGAATCTAAAATGTTAGACTCTATATCTTCAAGAAGATATTTTAGCCAACGATTCAATTTTCTAGAGCGACTTAAATTATAATCATGGTCCCATACACGGAACCAATAAGCCACACTATACAAAACCATCTTGACCGTTTCATCTGTGGCATTGTTTAAGTGAGCTCTTAACTGACGTGATAATTCACTTGTCACACTAGATAAGAATGGTCTAAATGGTCTTGTACTCATTGAATGCTAATAACAAAATTGAGCACGTTTAAATAACAAATTATCTATCTATATGAGGTAATAAAATTGTCTGTCAAACTATAAGTATAATAAAAATATAAAATATTAAAAATAGAAATTGTCTGTTTTGACTGTTTCATCTAAGAATTTAAACGAGCAAAAAAGAAGGTACTAATATAAAATGTCAATACCAGCTGAAGATAAGGCAACCGAACAAAGATTTGAGAACGTCGAAGTAGATAAATTAACTGAATATTTCAATGATTTAGAAGAAGTAAAGGACCTCTGTGATGATTACATCGAGTGCTTCAAGAAAGAACACAGAATTCCGCCAGAGTCAGATAAATACGAATTATTGATGGAGCTAGAAGCAGAGTTAATAGTCAGATTAAACGATATAACTGAACAAATAAGACATAACTATGTAGAGATATTTAATGCTTATGAAGAAAGAGCTTTAGAAAGAGTAAAAAGACAGAGATTAGAATTATTGAGAGAAGAGTCCAAGAAACCAAAGATGTCTAAAGAAGTAAATTAATTGATCCTTCTTAATAAAATTATGTTAAAGATAAAACATTTAAATAATATAATTAATTAGTGTTTTTATTCCATCCGGTTAATGTGTTAATTTGCCATATGAGTTTCCAATAAACCCCTTTTAATATTCGTTTTTCGTTCTCATTGGTGATTGATGGAAGAAGGAGAACAAGCTGAGATAAAAGAGAACAACCAACTTGGAGATTGGCTGGGTCAAGATCAATACAGGCAGTAGCCATTAGTAATTCTCTTACAGAAGACATGATTGAATAAAAAAAATGAGATTATAAACGAATAAATAGTTAATTCAATTGAGTTTTTGTCACTTTATAAGTTCAAATGGGGTAATATAATAACTGATAGGATAATAAGATAAAAAGTCAAAATTAATAAAGGAGCAAGAGGATCTTCTATAGATAGTATAAAGAATAGAATAAAAATATCAAAAGTCATTATACAAAATCTAGGTATAATAAATATTAAATATATGACAATAGTTAAACATGTACTTATTTTAATATCTTCCATTGAAATATTTATGTTTTATTGAGTTTAAGAGAGTTTATAATTCATGATGACGAAACAAAAATAGATATGATGAAATATATCAATACATATGATTTTTATACCTATTCATATTGATAAATAAGAAATTAGAATATAAATAGAAGAAAGAGAAGAATTTTAGATAATATATAAACAAAATGGATCATCTTAGAAATAATAGAAATGTCAATTGTTAGTGATACCAACAGTACGCAAATGTGTTCATTTTCAGGTGCACCAGAACTTCCACCATGTCCAGACATAACGGAAACACCTAAAGAAGAAACAAAAGCAAAGAAGAATAAAACAAATAATAAAGAGAAGATGAATCAATTTATTAAAAGACAGATGAATGATGATCCAATTGATGTTATGATGGATATTATTGAAGAAAATAAACGATTAAGAAAAGAACTAGAAAGAATCCGATTGTTATTGATTAATGAAAATAGAATGAATGAAGAACTTCGGAATGGTGTTTTAAATGAGAGAGTTAATCTTCTTTATGATATTCATTGGCAATAAATTAATTAAATAATTTTTTGAACTAAATAATTTTAGAATGAATTATTTTGATATAAATACACAAGATAGTAGTGATATAGAAGATGAGAGTGAAGTAGATGAAATAGGAATAGATAAAATAGATGAAATAGTGAATAATAGATTATCTAAAATTAAAGAAGGAAATAAAATACAACAAGTTCATCATCAAATATTCTTTTATTATAATAGTTTAAATATTATATTAGGTAAACAAGGAACAGGAAAAACAACATTTATAATGAAAGAATTAATAAAAATGAATAAAATAGAACATTTATATGGAGCAGTTATTTATGTATCACAAAGTGCAGGAGAAGATGAAACATTTAAAGAATTAAAAGATTTAATTAAAACACCAATTTATGGAATGAATTATGAAAAATTTATGCCAGCATTAATACAATATTATAAACAACCACAAGAAAAACATTTATTAATTATATTAGAAGATGCATCATTTTCACTAATGAAAGAAGATAAATCATGGGGAGAAATTATTACAAGATTAAGACATTTAAAAACAACTATTATTGTAAATATGCACATATGGAAAAGTTTAAATGCCTCATTTAAAACACAAGTAGCAACAATTATTATATTTAAAGGATATTCTAAAGAAAATTTTAATTATATATTTAGACAAACAGCAGCAAATACAAGTGGAACTGTTGGATATTATTTATATTTAGGAATGAATAAAGATCAATTATTAAAAATAGATAATTTAACAGGAGATATAAGTGTTATTAAAAAATAAATGAATTAAATATTAATTATTAAATATTTTGTTGTATCATCTTTTAACGGATCTGGATGATATTTTCCACCAGTCCATGTAATATTTTGTTTTCCAATATTAAATTTACCAGATCTTCCTTTCTCTTCTGGCCAATCTCTAACATATACCCAAATATTTCCAATACAATTAGGAATAACTTTTGCATTAATCATATGAGCAATTGCTACAGCATTATTTTTACCTTCAAAGAATCTATAATTTTTTAAATCATTTAATGATATATTTAATAAAATAAATGAATGAAGATTGAATGCATTTGGTGATTTAACGATTGATGAATTAGTTTTTTTATCTCTTCTTGTCTTTCCAAGTGCACTAAAATCATCAATTGAATCTTTTAATCCAACTGTATATGTTTTTTGAACTTTTTTTCCTGGATTACCATAAAATTTATCAACATCAAATGCAGCTGATTTACCTTCTCTAATAATAATTCTTTTTTGAAGTGTAATAATAATGTTTGACACCATAATAATATTAGTATTAAGCTCTTCATTCGAATCAGCTAAATAAAATAATCCATCTCCATCAAATGATTTTTTGATGAAATCAAATAATGAATTTTTAATTGAATTATATATATTAATAATATTTGATCCAATTGCAGATTTAATAGTTTTATATTTTTCAAGAACTTTCATTAAATCATTTAGTTTTTTATCACCGTTATCATTGTCATCAGTCTTATTAACCTTCTCGAAACATGATATTATTTCTGTTTTAATTTTATCAAACATGTTACCATGTTTATAATCAGTTACTGAATTTGGGATACGTACATAAATCAGGTTATTATATTTTGGAGCATTATATAAATTTGTAGAATCTTTCATAAATAACTTGAGATAATTTCTTATTTTTGTTGCATTATTTACAGTTGGAGTTAGTGATATACGAGAAGAATAAATTGGACTTCCAGGAACAAAATCATCAAATGATTCATTATCCATGTGAATCTCTTCAGTGTCATTATCATCATCTTCTTCTTCTCGATGTTTTTGTGATGAAGGTTTTCGAATGGGTTTTTGATTGGGTTTTTGATCGGGTTTTGTTGTCTTTCGTGTAAAGTTGTTCATCTAATAATAATCAGATCTATATGACTCGTTTATATTATCAAAGATATTTAACAATCACAAGAGAAAATACATCTCCAAATATAACAACAGGGAAATGGAAAGTGAATTTACCATGGGAATTTATTACTTCTGAAAATTATCCTAAAACAATAGAAGTATTGAATTTTGTTTATTTTAATTTGAATGGTCAATTAGATATTGGTGTTAGTTGTCATGGTTCATTTAATTATGATTCACCTGAAAATGATCAAATGATATGTTTTTCAACATATGGGAATATGACACCAAAACATTTTAATATTAATAAAAATATAACTTCAATAGAAATATGGTTTAAAGATTATAAAGGAAATATTATTATGCCACTTGGAATTTGGGATGAATATTTTATCTTAGAACTTAATTTACATTATTAAATGGAAGCAATTGGTTCAAAATATTTAAATAAAAATAATATTTTAACAACAAGATATTTTAACAATAATACAATTTATCTTGATACAATTAAATCATCAGATGGAATGACAACAATTAATGTTAAAGATATTCTATCAAATAATGAAATTGATGAAATAAAAGAGAAAATGAAAGAAACAAATATATATATTGATGATATTAGAGATGATGTATCACAATTATCAACATTAAATACAACAAATATGAATGAAATTAATAATTTAACATCTCAATTAATATCTTTATCTTCTCTTGTTAATGAAACATTATATTCACCACTTTATTTTAATGAAGAAACAATAATAAAAATGAATGGTTTAAAATCTTATATTAATGATAAAATTAATAATATTCCTAAAGGAATAACAGAAAATAATAAAGTTATTAATGGTATTATTGTAAAACAAATAATTAATTATGGAAATGAAGAAGTAAAATTTGAATCTGTTGTTCCTTTCACAAATTTTAATCATCATTTTTATTATGATGATAAAACTTATAATCTCAAACAAAATAATTTATTTATTTCATTTGGAAGAAAATCAATTGATTGTTCAGCAATAATGAAATATTGTTGTAACTCAAATTCAAGTGATGAATATGTTTATACATATAGTAATAAAAATTATTATGTAGCAGAAATATATTATGTATTTAATCAAACAAAATCAAATGAATATGAAATAAGTTTATGTCATATTAATTTAGATGGAAGTTATAATAAAATTAAAACATTTGATAAAATTAAAGTTTCAGATTTAGTACAAGAAAGAGAAGAAACAATTGATGAAACAGAATATATATTACCATCATTACCAAAACTTACAGTATAATTATAAATGATCTTTTTATTTAATCAAATTTCATCTTATAATTTTCACTTTCATTTTTATAATCATGCACAAACGTGGTATGCTTATTTTTACTGGATCTATTGGAGTTGGAAAAACATCAACTATTGATGCATTTATGAAATATTTTGAAACAGAAAGTGTTGGAAGAATAAAAGAATATATTGATTATTCACCAATAGAAGGAAAAAAGTTACTTAATGGAGTAACGAATGGAACAATAAGAAATTATACATTACAAAAGTTTATTATTCAATGTTATAAAGAACAATTGGAAAACAATAAAAATAAAAAATTACTAATTTTTGAACGTCATCCTCGTGAAGCATTAAAAGTATTTTGTGAAATAGATAAAACATTAACAGAAAAAGAAAAAGAAGAAATTAATGAAGAAATAAGTAAAATAGAAAAAGAATATGAAATAAAATATAATGAAGAATATTATTTTTATTGTGATGTTTCAACTAATTATTTAACTCCAGAAGGTGTTGCATTAGCTATTTTATCTAGTTTGAGTGGAAGTGATGTAATAAAATTTGATCATTATGTACATGTTATTTTTTTAAGATGTGATTTTGATTTACAAAAGAAAAGAATTATAGAAAGAAATAGAGGAATTATTTCAGAAATAAATTTTGATTATATTAAACAAGTTAATGAATGTTATGAAAGTTGTTATAACAAAAATTAATAAATAAATGAATTAATTTTAATTTAATCTGTTCCTGTTTTTTCTTTAACAAAATATTTGTTATTACAAATATATTCACAACCACCTTGTAATGTACATCTCCAGAAACAATCTTGACACACAAGCATAATTGGACATCTATCATTTGATTCTTTAGTTAAAGGATTAGTGATATAAGGATGTTCATTATTAGGAATTAATAAAGTTCCAGAAAGTGTTACATGAGCATTATCTTTAGTAATTCCATCACAAAATGTACCATAACCACTTAATCTTTCAGTACTACATAAGAAACAATATGATGTATTATCTTTAAGTGGTGGAATATATTTTCCATTTCCTGCTTTTCCTATAATTGAATTAGTATCTATTTCATTATATTCTAATGAATAAGCAAATTCTTTTGAAGGAGAGAATAAATTATCTAAACCAGCATTAGTAATATTATAAATAGTATGTGATTTTTCTATAGATGAAAATGGTTTATCAGGATAAGGTTTATTATCAATTTGTAATTGTAAAGATGCTAATAAAGGATTTCTACTACATGTTACTTCATTAGTTGTTCTAGGGAATAAAAACATTAAAGAACTTACATTTGTCATAGCATAAGTAGTATTACATTTTAAACCATTAGTCATTGGTTTTTGTGAAAATGCTTGATAATCAACATATTGAGAAGGAATAATTAATTCTTTTGATGAATATTTTGTTATTAATTCATTTAATATACTATCTTTAATATTAAATCCATTAATATTTGTTCTACAATATTTTAAACTTCCATCTGTTATCATAAAACTTACTGTTGTATCTTTTCCAACAATAATATTTTGTGATTCACGTAATGCACCAGTAAATGAATGAACATTAAATGAATCACCTATTTGTGTAAATGCATGATATTCTCCATTTGTTTTAATTATATTATATATATCACTTTTAATTACTTCTGTTATATTATCTTTTATTTCATCTGATCCACTATATGAAGATGATGAAATATGTGAAATTTTATTTAATATTGTTTCTTGTTTACATTGACAAATAACAAAATTTTGTTGAATTGCCATTTTAACTTCAAGTGTTAAATTTCCAAATAATGCATTAGGAAACATTTTCATAGCAGCAAACGGTAATAAATCATCTATTGGAATAATTACTTCAAATTCTTTTTCAACTGTATTATCTGGTGATTTAATAAATTCTTCCATTGATATATAACATCCACAAATATTATCTTCCATATTATATGCTGATTCCCATTGTGTATAAATTCCTGGTTTATAATCTAATTCTTCTTGTGCTTTTAACATTCTAATAGCTGCATTTTCATATAATGCTTCTGTTTGTTCACATGCTGTTTTCTTATTTCTTGAATATACTCTATATGCATCAAATAAATGTGTTGATGATTTTAATCCTACAAAGAATACAACTGTTTGATTTTTTATACTTTCACATTTATTATCAAATTCTGGATTTGAAATACCT